GTTTGTAGCTGTCATAGTGTGTGTAGCTGTCACAGTGTGTGTAGCAGTCACAGTGTGTGTAGCTGTCATCATATAGCAGTCTGTCAGTGTGTGTAGCTGTCATAGTGTGTAGCAGTCATAGTGTGTGTAGCTGTGTGTGTAGCTGTCACAGTGTGTGTAGCAGTCACAGTGTGTAGCAGTCACAGCAGTCATGTGTGTTAGCTGTCATAGTGTGTGTAGCTGTCAGTGTGTGTAGTAGCAGTCACAGTGTGTGCCAATTTAGCAGCTGTCATAGTGTGTGTAGCAGTCACAGTCATAGTGTGTAGCTGTCATAGTGTGTAGCAGTGTAGCAGTGTGTGTAGTCATAGTGTGTAGCAGTCACAGCAGTCATAGTGTGTGTAGCAGTCATAGTGTGTAGCAGTCACAGTGTGTAGCAGTCATAGTGTGTGTAGCTGTCATAGTGTGTAGCAGTCACAGTGTGTAGCTGTCATAGTGTGTGTAGCTGTCATAGTGTGTAGCTGTCACAGTGTGTAGCTGTCATAATGTGTGTAGCTGTCATAGTGTGTGTAGTTGTCATAGTGTGTGTACTATCTAGTCACAGTGTGTGTAGCTGTCATTTGGACATTAGTCGTTATGTGGAATCTCAAGCATTTTAAGTTATTTCAACATATTTTTAATGGGTTGACAGTGCACAATGTGACATACTTTGACCTAGAAACCTGTAGCATTGTCGCGCTTTGGTAGAATACAAAAAATGTCCCAAATGTCGCATCGGTGTGCTTGATTAATTTATACACTTGTAGCTTGTTTTTGTAAGGGAAACTGTGATAATGACGCAGCTGTTTGCTGCAATCGTTGTTTTTCAGTATGACTAATGTAAATGTAATGTACTATGGTCGTACTGTAATCTCTTTTTGTGGATAGCCAGAGGAAACTGATTGTCAGGGGTAACAGCTGTGAGTTTGTCGCCCAGACGGGTCCATACGTGGTTCGGATGTCGTCACGTGCGTCACATAGCTCATCTATGTCTCTGTTGTGAAATATCCTCATGATTTTAGTTTCTAAACATATAATATGATTTTTAAGTAAAATAGAGCTTAGCACGTTATGAGATTTCAACGTGACCAACCAGTGAATGAGATCACATAACAAAGCTGAATATGTCGAATATATCTAACGAAAGCAATTTTTGTACAATTCACAGGCGGTGTGTGTGTGTGTGCGCGCGCGTGCGTGTGTGCGTGTGTATGTGTGTGTGCAGGGGTGCGCACCCCACCTTTTGTCCTGAAAGTTTATTAACTGACTTGGTTGTCACCGTATCCCAAATGTGTAGATCGATTCTGCTGCTGCTGCTGTATAGCTGGATTATTACAGAGGGCGGCGTTATACAACAATCAATCAATCAACAATCTCGTATGGGTAACTCCGGTGTCGACTACAGTGACGACGCATTCCTGGAAGCAGGACTCTACTGGTGATAAACCTTGTTCTTGGCTCTAGGGGCTGTTTTTGATGGTCGTTGGGATCCTGGTCTGGGTGACAGGCTTAGGACCAAAGCCTGACCCGCGTGAAGTAACTCTGAACTAGATAAGATAAACGAGACAGCTCTTTAACTGCAAGTCTCTTTGTCACATGAATCGGACCATTGTTACTCTGTGAGAGGGACTACTAAAAGGAGCTGATCAAACCAGAAAGACAACCGTCGGCTTTGCTGTCAAGAACTGGGAATAACAGAGCTAATAAAGGTTGAAACGGAGAGACTTGCTGACTCCTCAGAGTCCTCCACACATGAGAGGAAGGACGGGGCTCTGGGACCAGAGGCTCCTTTCACGAAGCAACCTTTACTAAGGTTGACCTTACCTCCCATTCTTTAACATTGTACTAAAGTTACCTTATTGACTTACGATCACCTTAGTGCTCTGTGAAAGGTGCCCCAGCTCCAGAACGTCATCGCTTGGCGACCTCAGGCTCTAATGTCAAAACTTTACTGGTATGCTGAATGAAGACGGGAGCTGAGCAGACACCAGACACTGATTCCTTCTTCAGGATTAAACCTCAACAGAACATGCCCTGGAGATACCCAGGTACAACACTGGCACCAGCTCAACCTAATCATCACAACCCAGCCAAAGGGCAATCACAGATGACAATGATCAAATGTAAAAACGTGCTTTTTAACAATGAGAGGCTTCCGGTATTCCCGCGAAGAACCGATAAACTTGGTACCAGGATCCGATACGTATGGAATTGACGTCGCCCAGTAGCCAATACTGTCAAGCTCAAGTCACTAATGATGCTTCTAATAAGCTTAGATAGAGGGTATCCACCGTTTCGCCAAAACAAGAAACAAACATGGCTTCTGGAACTGTGTGGATAGCTGGACAATTCAGCAAAACACAGTGCAATTACGGTTATAAGTATTATAAGGTGCTGTACGGTAAGAAAAATTGTTAGTCAAGGTTGTTTCCGAATGCTCAATATCACAGGCTCGCAAAATACAATATATATTTCCAGAAATGATATTTACGATACAAGACAATCGAATAATATTTTAATAATAATATGTCAATGCACACTGATTTTTAAACGGTATCATATTATTTCGTCATAAAAATGCTATTTAAAAACGGAAGTCAATGACAACATTATTTTATGTATGTATTTACCCTCAAAACTATGCACACCGATTTTTACTTTGATAAACGCCCAATAAACGCAAAGCAAACATAACGAAGTCAAGTCTGAAGATAGAATATGCTAAGAAGTCCACACCTTCCCGTTTAATCATAAACACACAAAATACGGAATAAAATAGGGAACAGCCCATTCTCTCACTACAATGCTAGTCAGCTGACGCCCACAAACATTCATAAGAACGAATCTGGGATTTCACGATGGCCTCGCTACCTTGCAATAACTCTGAGGTTTAACTATCACAATGGCGTCCCAGTTTCCAGACACGCTTACATAATATGCCTGCGGTTTCACGACTCATTAAGTTTGTTTTCTGAGCCATATCATATCGTATATATGATAAATTAGTCCAAACATCCCATAATTATCCGGACTGTATTGTCGGGAAACCATTTCATGCACTTGAAAAAAAACGTTTTTAGCATAACAATTAAAATGTCATCAAAACATTTCCTGGCTGAGTTTCCGTATTGCAAACAGTCTGTGTCAAGAAAATGGTATGCAATAAATATAACACAAAGATGTCATGGTAGAAGAGACACAACTCGAACTAATCTACCTTGACACATTCTCGTTCAACATATAAAATCCAAGAACAAGGACAAAATCTCCTTCACTATTCCGGAACGTTTAATACAAAATAATAAACAAATACGAACTCGAAGTGAACGGATTTCCAACTCAACCTGAAGGCGTTTCCTAATGTGTTTAAGATGGCCCTTCTGGCTTACCAACTCTGGCTGACCTGTCCCTCTTTTGGACTCGTGTGTGACCAGGGGCCATATATCTGTATTGGCTTTTAATGTTATTGTGATATCATTTGATGAATTTTATTTATTTTATTGTTTACATATTTTTTATTTTTTATATTAATTTATTTTTATTTAGTTTTATTTATTTTTTTTATTCTGGGGGAAAGGGGTGCTCTTCTCGTTTTAACCGAACTTGGGCTGGGGGCATGGTCTTGACATTCCAGTGACAAGTGAGCTTCAGGTTCCACAATGGACAGACGAAGAGTCAACTATGAGCAAAGTCCACAGTGTTACAAAGGACATGTCAATGAAATGGTCCAGAACGTATAAGTAATGGACGTAAATAGAGAGAGTCAAGAGAGAGTGGTATCACTTCACCCTCCTAGTCCCGGTTACTTCCTATATGTTCCAGCTGAAATGTGTATAACGAACTACGGTTATAGCGAAGTAAACACATCAGCATAAATCAAGCACCACCCACTTTCTTTATGCAGGTTCTACACACTTGTATATGCTTCAATAGCCAAATCCGAGGATCTAAAGATATGCTGTCGCGTATTTAACTCTGAGTGGTTGTATTGTATTGGACTCCGTGCGTCCGTGCAAATTTGTCTTTTCCGGAGCAGAACTTTAAAACCGTTCAATATTTCTTAACCAAACTTGGCACTTATATAAGACTGGTGGTGAACTGGTGCCTTTTGGTAGTTTTGGATTCTGAATATTTTTGTGTATGTATTTCCATGGCAATAACTTTGACTTCGACAGAAATTTTTGGTAGTGTTCTTTTCCGGTGCAGGAATTTTGGAAACCGTAAATGTTTCTTACCACACTTGGCGCATAGTTAGGTCTGGTAATGAACAGGTGCCTCTATGTAGTTTTGGATTCTGAATAAATTATGTTTTGCATTTGCATGGCAACAAGTTTGACTTCGACTGATATTGGTGTTGGTGCTCTTTTCCGGAGAAGAACTTAAAAAACCTACAATGTTTCTTCACAACATTTGTCACATAGATAGGTCTGGTGGTGAACTGGTCACTTTTAATAGTTTTGGTGTTCTGAATAAAATAATGTTTGCATTTCCATGGCAACAGGTTTTACTTTGACTGAAATTGGTGATAGTGATTCAATACTCTTCTTCTACTTTGTGGGTATTCAAGAACCAAATGACAAACATCCACAGTACCACTATTTCCAGTATGAATCTTACTGAGGTACATCAAACCGTGGAAGCACTCAGGCAGTGTGGTGTTCATACAAGCATGCTAGTACATGAATAGTTTACATATATATGTTTTGTTAGATCAATGTGAAGAACAATGTAACATTAGTCATAACTAGTTGACATATTCATGAAGCGTATTTTACCATTGCGGGGGATATTGATGACTTGTCTTCATGTTTGCCCATTGTATTAAGCATATGTCAACTTTTCCGTTTTTGGAGCTCCCATGATGGCCAAATGTACAGTGTCTTTTTCGAGACTTCGAATCTATATCATATTACATGATATTTGTTAACTGAGTTTGAATTTACGTGTTCCTGCATTAAGTGTTCCAAACCCATCTCGTTTTTAAGGTGAGGGGGATGCATTGCACGCCAAGGAAGTGCCCGAGAAGGCCGAAAAGTCCGGTCTCCTCATCCAAGCTGACGAATCCACGAAAGTGTACCTGAGACGCTGGCTGATGCTAACTTTGTTCTGCTCCTTCTCCGTAACATCCGCCTACCAGTGGATCCACCTGAACATCATCGCCAACATCGTCGTCCGCTACTACAACAGCAGCCTCCCCGGCGACTCCCTACAACAGGAAACTGCCGTAGACTGGCTCTCTCTCGTCTACATGTTGGTCTACGTCCCCACAATCATCCCCGCCATGATGCTCCTCAACAGCAAAGGGTTGCGCGTCAACAACATCGTTGGGAGCTTCCTGAACACAATGGGGGCGTGGTTGAAGGTGGGAGCGCTGGGGCCGGAGCGGTTCCCGGTGTTGATGACGGGTCAGGTTCTGTGTGGTCTGGCTGAAGTGTTTGTGGTCAGTATTCCACCCCGGTTGGCGGCTGTCTGGTTCGGACCTGACCAAGTATCTACTGCAACTTCTCTGGGCGTCTTTGGAAATCAGGTAACTCCATGTTCCGCCATCCGGTAAGGTTTTCTATCCATATTAAATAATTCACATCAGTTGGGTTCTTCCAGAAGTCAAGAGATGCTAAGTTGCAACGGGAATTTGCTGTGCAGAGTCGCGCCGCTTTGCTAGTCCAGGATTTGAAGATCGTGGGTTCGGATTCTCTTTTAACCTTTGTTTGACGGTAGACGTTATATTTGATGGTTCACTCCGTCTGAGCCTGTACGCCAGGGTACCGTTGTACTGTCTGTGCTAAGGTTGGGGAGTTATGATCACCTTAGCGTTAAGATGCTTTGTACAACGACACCCTATATCCATTAACGTTAAGGGCAAAATGAACCTTTCAACCAGGAAACAATCATCTGAAATTATGTCTGATGTTCACACAATAATATCTCAACATCCTTTCAAATGGGACGTGCATTGATACCTTGCACATGTTATTCTAAAATTAACAAATTCGATTTTTCAGTATTTCGAAAAGGCAATGTTAAACATCAGTGATGATATAGTGCGTCATATGTGTTTCTTTTTTAACTTTTCATGTTACAGTATTAACGAAAGTATAAAATATGCAGGTTTATATAATTATATATTAATGTATCTTCCGCACTAAACGGAGAAAGCTGGATTGAGAATGGTTATCCTCGGGCGTTACCGTTTTGTATTTACCGACATTTGATAAAAAGTAGATGCATGGGATAAGCAACAAACGTATCACCTGGGCATGGGCCTTATACATTTGTCACAAAACGTATGCCGAGACGCTTCTGTAAAACATTCACTGAAGATGTATGTAGTTAACCTAGAGCCATAGACAGGCAGTCAGTACATCTTGAATCTAATCTGTGACCTTGCCCTTCACAGCGTGTCGTCTGCTACTGATATATTTATGTCGTTGGATTAACCTATGGCCTTTCACCGTGTATGTATGTCAGATCATTCATTTTTTTAAACGTCGCCAGTGACAAATATAGAGAAATTCTTCAGGGCCATCTGTCCCTAGTGAAAGACTGGTGTCCGAGCCATTGCCGAGGGACCAAAATGTATTCACAAGGTACATTTTAAGAGAGAAAATGAAGAAAACATAAGGAAATGTCAACCCAACAGAGAAACCTCACTCAAGGCAGCCTATTGTTCAGATGACGTCATGTAATCAGTCTTATAAGTCCTGAACAATGGATGTCCTCAAATCGTATGTTTGTCAGTGGTGAAGCACTGTGACATGATATGGCTTCAGTCGACCAATCAGCACTGAAACTCGCTAAAATGTAGATATCAGAATCTTATAACCCACGATCCTTCAACCATATATTTAGGTATTATTCATTATTAATTAGAAACAAAGAAAGTCATAAAAAAAACTTGCAACAAACATTTGGACGAAAATGTCGCATTTTTATGAACAGTACCCGACTCCTATGATCGGGCACCTGAAGTATGAATGAACAGTATACGTTATAGTATATATGCTAAATTACACGTATTACACTTATTGTTGATGTATTGTCTTGGCGTGAATGGATTTGGTTGGTACGTGTTAGAACGAGTTAAGTCAACGTATAGCAATGTCAGCCTCATGAAGGCTTCGTCACGATCTCAGATTATTTTTTAGTTGTGTCAACAACAAAAAAAAGGCAAGGCATTAAAACTATGAATGTAAATAATGATCTTCACGTAGCTTCTCTCTCTCTCTGTGGTTTTGTGAGTGAAAAGTATGATACTCTCTCGTTAAATTCATGCTTCACTGCGGCATGGTATCTCAGTGGGCTATCACTATAAAACCAGCTTCAGTCTGGCCTAGTACAAGCAGCCGCACATACACATACACACGCATGCACGTCGTCATATGAGCGAAATATTCTCAAGCACGACGTTAAACCCAATTTCACCTCACCCTACCTCTCTCTCTCTGTGGTTATGTGAGTGAATAGTTTGACTCTCCCTCGCTCGCTCTCTCTCTCTCCCCCTCTGTGGTTTTGTGTTTGAATAGTATGATACTCTCTACCTCTCTCTCTCTCTCTCTCTCTCTCTCTCTCTCTCTCTCTCTCTCTCTCTCTCTCTCTCTCTCTCTCTCTCTCTCTCTCTCTCTCTCTCTCTCTCTCTCTCTCTCTCTCACACACACACACACACACAAATATAAGATATTAACTCACCAGGTTTTGACATTCACAGTGAGAACAGATATACTGATTGAAGGTTGTTTACAATAACAGCGGTTGAATAGACAAGCACGGTCAGTCTTGAAACGTTGAACAACTTGATGATGGATGACAGATGTGTATAAATCCAGTCATGTGAAAGTCCCGTCGCACAACACAACAAGCAGCCTATTATAGCTCCTACACAGTTCTCGAGCATTCTAGCAAAGCTAGGCTCCATCATTATTCTCTCAGAACGTTATGGAAAACTCACGGATACTCCACGGCATGACGAAATCCGAAAGTCAACAATATAAACAAGCCAGCCAAGGGATACAACTCTGAAGCGCTGTAAAAATGGCGTGCCGCTACAAATAATATTGAACATATCACTCTCTCTCTCTCTCTCTCTCTCTCTCTCTCTCTCTCTCTCTCTCTCTCTCTCTCTCTCTCTCTCTCTCTCTCTCTCTCTCTCTCTCTCTCTCTCTCTCTCTCTCTCTGGTTGTGTGAGTAGTATGATACTGTTTGTAGTATGTATGCTCATGATGTTTACTAAGTGAAGGAAGTAGGGGGTTTCGGTTTTGTTGTGGTTCTTGGTGGTGGTGATGGTGTGTGTGACGTTTATGGCGTATATTGTGTATTGTCGATGTTCAAACTACTGGATTAAACAGTCGGTTGGTAGGAATCAAATCTCTACTCAAGGGCCATAAGGTTAGATACCAGCTCCTTGGTCTTATAGCAGCATCCGCGGGTTGTTGGGTTTTAGGGGTGAGGGGTGGGTCGAACTAACCTCACCTAAACCCCAGGACTTGGAAGACATTGTATAGAAGTTGACCAGTTTCTGTTTTTCTTCCCCTCCTCAGATAGGCGTGGCAGTGGGCTTTCTCATCCCTCCCATACTTGTGGACAACTCCCCCAACATCACAGACATCGGCGCTGGGCTCACCGTCATGAACTACGGCACAGCGACAGTCACCACCGTCATCTTTCTCCTCATGCTTGTAGGTGAGCATAATTCGCCTTTATAATGGAGACAGATTTAGGGGAGAGAGATGGAAGGGAGAGTGGGAGGGAAGGAGAATTTGACGATTTACGGGACTAAGTTTGGTGAGAATAGGCTATAGGTCGGACAGCTTGTTTACTTTGCGATGGCAGGTTGACCCACATGTACTGACACAACTGCAAGCATGTCAAACTGTCATACACACGCACTGTGTGGCTTAACAACTATCACAGGTAAACAAATATTTCATTTAACGTCAGTGTTTTCATGCCAGACAAATAGTACCATCACACAGCCAAACGAAACCTATGAAAGGGATCACATATGATCCACATACCAGTGAATGCGATCACATATAGGTAAGATATTTGCAGGAAATCATATACAAAAGGCAATAAAACATATAAGGCTCAGTTTGACACCACAAACTTATATTTAACCGTCCTTACTATAGGCCAATTTACATGTGACCGGCTTCACAAAGGGATCATAATGCTGAGAATATAACTCCTATGCTTAACCCGTGAAGATCCGGATTAGAACTGGGTGCCGTTCCACTAACCGATCTTAGCCCTATGCCAATCGTAAACCCCTAAAATCCCAATCTTAGCGTGACGTTACGATCGGCATACCGTTCCACTAACCAATCTTACCTAAGTCAATCGTAAAGTTAAGATTCAAAGTCTAAGTTGCTCATGACCAACTTAGGATAGCTAAAATCAATCGTAGAGAAACCAAAATGGTGACTTTCCTATTCTTTGTGAAAAATAAGAGCGAGCATTTCACCGTAAGCGTCCCCTAAAGTCCCCCATGAAATGAATTTGTATATTTCTGTGATGTAAACAAACACTGCACTGAAGCCTTACAGATGTCAGGCCAGTCTGACCACTGTCGTCATGGGAACACAACTGAGCGAGTCGGTGTAACACATTTGTACAACAATATTGCAATGTCATGGTTAAGAATAGGGACAGCCGTGAAGTGAACAATGTTCTGAAGCAAAAAGATACAAATATGTTTGATTTCACTGCGCATATTTGGTGTGGGATTCTAAAGACAGGCCGCGTGTTATTCAAGACCACTGACAGATTCTACATACGTTATATATAGCCTCTTCACGCCTTGTTTATTCTGATTGACAAGGTTCAGGCACATATTAAAAGCTTTGACACAATTGACATTTTTTAAAGTCCAGACTTAAAACCTGTTCTCAGTATATTACTTATAATCTCGGCTGTAAATACTCTCGTGTAAATTATCTGTACACAGCGCTTTGAGCATGCCCAAGGATGAGGAATAGGCGCACTATAAATATGCATTTATTATTATTATATTATGCTTGATACCCAGCGTTCTCACGCACTTGCACCTGAAACCAAGGTGCTCACTACCCTAATATTTTGCTCTAGGTTTTTTTCTCCACGTTTACACATGGTTGGAAAAATACCCATGAAGGCCCGGGTTAGAATATTGAACTTCAATAACCCATGCCTGTCGTAAGAGGCCACTAACGGGATCGGGTGGTCAGGCTCGCTGACTTGCTTGACACATGTCATCGGTTCCCAACTGCGCAGATCGATGCGCTTGCTGTTGATCACTGGATTGTCTGGTTTAGACTCGATTATTTATAGCTAAGATACATAGCGTTCACTAACATGAACGCTCATGCTAGTGAACGCTATGCATCTTAGCTAGATTATTTACAGACCGCCGCCATATAGCTGGACTATTGCTGAGGGCAGCGTAAATCTAAACTCACTCACTCACTCAGTTGGTTCGTAAACTACTTCCATCATTTGCTAGACTATGCAAAGGGAGATAACTCGTGCCTCGCATTCTCGCACGAAAGAGTCTCGATCTAAGCTTGGATCGGATCGTAAGATCGGGACCGGCTACGATCGGCCTAAGATCGGTTAGTGGAACGGGTGTAACTTTTAGCTAAGACGATTGTAAAATTGGCGTAACTTGCTAAGATTGATCTTAGTTAAGATCGGTTAGTGGAACGGCACCCTGATCTTCAGCAACCCATGCTTGTCGTAAGAGGCGACTAACGGGATCGGGTGGTCAGGCTCACGGACTTGATTGACACACGTCATCTTATCGCAATTGCGTAGATCGATGCTCATGATGTTGATCACTGGATTGTCTAGTCCAGACTCGATTATGTACAGACCGCCGCCATATAGCTGGAATATTGCTGAGTGTGGCGTTAAACAACAAACAAGACAAAATATTATGCTTAACATTTAGGTTTTTGTTGAGCTATGATCGCTTTGTGAAACGAGACCAGCGGTTTTCAAATACCCCTAACAAACATCGGTTGCCGATAATAAAATATTGCCCTAAAGTATTTCAGTGACAGCGTCTCATCTTGTTTTGTGTTCACATCACCATATCAAACAATTATTCATACACATGAGCATTGGCTGTACAATTGTGTGTGCAAGAAGTATTCAGACGTATAATTTATACAACAATTTTTATTCTAGAAACTAATTATCTCAGTTGCATCAGCAACATACCGGATGAAACAGGTTTGAATATAAGTGCGTAATGTGTTATTGGTTTTTTAAAATGTATACTCTATTTAATACTTTTTCACAATAGTGACACTAAAGATAAATGTGAAAAGGCGGAATTATTTTGCTCAGTCTACGATTTGTTTGTTTGTTTGTTTGTTTGTTGTGTAACGCCGCAATCACAGTATTCCAGCCTAATGGCGGTGGTCTGTAAATAATCAAGTCAGCCTACGAACCCATTCTGTACGGCTATTGGATGTAGCTTGCATGTGGTTGAGAAGATGGCATTAACTACAGTGTTTCGGACACGGAAAAGTCATTTATATCCATACAAAGGATTGCTAGAAAAAACGACAGAAAAGTGTAGCATCCAAAATATCTAATTTTTAGTGCAAATCTATAACTTTACAGGAACTCGAGAATAAAGTGTGAACAACCCTCCCTTGGCGTTTTGGCGTGACGTTTTCACATGACTTTTGACGTGACGTTTTGACGTGACGCTTTTACATGACGTTTGACGTGACCTTTCCACATGACTTTTGATGTGACGTTTTGACATGACGTTTGACGTGACCTTTCACATGACTTTTGATGTGATGTTTTGACATGACGTTTGACGTGACCTTTCACATGGCTTTTGACGTGACGTTTTTACATGACGTTATGATGTGACCTTTTCACGTGACTTTGATGTGACGTTTTGACATGACGTTTGACGTGACCTTTTCACACGACACGTTTGATGTGACGTTTTGACATGACGTTTCGACGTGACGTTTTTACATGACGTTTTAACGTGACGTTTTGACATGTTTTGACATGATGTTTTGACCTGACGTTTTGACGTAACGTTTTGACGGACGTTTTCACATGACTTTTGACGTTTTGGCGTGACGTTTCACATGACTTTGACGTGACACTGTTACTTGACGTTTTGACATGGCGTTTTGACGTGACGTTTTCACTTGACTTTTGACGTGGTGTTTTTACATGACGTTTTGACGTGACGTATTGACATGACGTTTTGACGTTCTACTTTTGGTTATTTTGATAGGTGATCTGGTTGATTATTGGACATGCTGTTTGTTAGGATTGTAAGGCTCGTGAACACAACCTTTATAGTCTGTTTGCAGTGAAAACGTACCGATGAATTTCTCTTTAAACAAGAAAGTAAATCGAATAAAATGAAATTAACATTGCGAATCCTCATAATTTTACCTTGCCAACTGAACATTTAAATATCAGAATATTATTAAACTTAGGATAAAAGTTGTTTAACAAACGATCATAGTTTCAAATCGTTATTATTGGTTTGTATTAGAAGGGTGTATGCACATTACATGAAACACCGAGAACAAGTACGGTTGGTCCAAGTTAACGCTCATCACGTACCGCACGTGCATTTGTTTCAGTGTTCCAACTACTGCGCTTACCCCCTTGTAATACAAACCAATAATAGCGATTTGAAACTATGATCGTTTGTTAAACAGCTTTTATCCTAAGTTTTATTCAAATATTAATCGATAAATCATTATATTCACTTATTAGCAATGCTAAGGAAAGTAGACTTTTTATGAATGTAAATTAAAATGTTTGATATAACAATTAAAGTGAGTGTCTGAGTTTAGTTTTACGCCGCTTTTAAATTATTACAGTAATATCACGGCGGAGGACACCAGAAATGGGTTTCACACCTTGTTGCCATGTGGGAATCGAATCCATGTCTTTGGCGTGAAAAGCGAACGCTTTAACCACTTGGCTACCCCACCGCCCCGATATTACAATATAAAGTATGATATTGATTCTGGTAATAATTTACTTAAAATTGTATTAAATTATCAATCAATAAATTGTTATAATCAATTATTAGCCATGCTAAGAAAGGTAGACTTTTATGAATGTAAATTAAAATGTTTTATATAACAATTAAAATAATTTTAGACCAAAGTGTACGTCTTACAAAGAAAGTTGTTTTAAGCTATTCAGTTGCAGTTTAATGGCCTATGTATGTTGGTTGTGTTTGACAGTGAACGGACTAACTATTGTCTATGCTTTTCTTGGCCGTCCCAAATCGCGCACTTTGATAAAGGTTCTGACTGTCGTTACTACTGTTATCAATGCGATATTTAATGAGAATGCATATTAGACTATATGACAGCAGATGACATGCGTTAGATCAGCTTTGTTCTGTAAACAGTCCGTGAAATCAGGCATGCGCAGAAAGGCAAAAGTATGAAACAATCCGCATGCGAGAGTCTATCACTTCGAACTAGACGAAGGCAAGTTACGGAAAGAGTCGAGAGGTGACGACTTATACCGGTAGACGATGTCCAAAAGAAAACGGCAATGTCCGTCGTGAAAAGGGCCAAAACACTGTCACCAAAACACCGGGTTTACCTCCGATGATGTAAACGCAAAAATACCCTCTTCGTGTTTTTAAAGGGACATTGATTCGGAGCAATTCCCCGTGACTGGTTGTTGCTAATGTTATTGTTTCTCCACCGCGAGTACCCGGATGATATCCCAGATTTCTTTACTGGGTTGCCATCTTTGCTGCGGCGGCCGCAACCGCAATTGGTAGTATATGTATGATGTGGATATCCCGACATTGATCAACAAAGATGAAATCTTTTTTCACTCATTCATATTTCCATCTTCATTATTAGTGAAGCCAATTTTTGTTGTCCCCCGCCATTATATTGCTGGAATATTGCTAAAAACGGTGTAAAACTAAACTCACTCACTCACTCTTCATTATTATGACAACAAATGAAACTATTTTGAAGTTTAACTTCATTTGCCAGTTGTAAAATATGTTAGGACTGAAAAAAGTAATTTATTTTTATATTTGTATGCATTTTCGGAACTTCATATGTTGTTAGTGAATTTATAACGTGACTGTAATATCTAGACATTTTATAGATTGCCGACGTGCATCATATTTCACACACACGCCCTCAGTGCGACCTTGAGTATGTTGTCTGTCTCATCGAACTTCACGGCGAAAAAAATGAAGTGGCATGATTCTTTTGGATTACAACAAATGAATAAAACCAAAATACAAATATTAAAATTAAAATCGACTAAAGTTAGAACAATAATATCAGGCCATTACCTTGTTCGAGGAATGCATCCATCAATATCCACATGAAGGAACGATATACCATTTATCTGCAGCTGACAAAGAAACCTGTTCCATGTTATGTATCTTTTTTCAGTCTAAAATGCTAAAAAAAATGTATAAATCGTTATAACTAGTGATGAACAGAGACATTTTTTATGGCTGGACAACTTCTTTACTGCAATCGATGCAACGTTAGCATCTACACCGACACGTTGCATCAGTTGCAATAAAGAAGTTGATTAATCAGTCAACTATCGGGGATACATGTATTTTCAAATAACGGCACTTGATGGGCATCCACCGTTCTTATTGTCCCATTGTTTAGGTTGAAGAAATTCTGCAAAGGTGGACAGTTGCCTAGTTCCTGTGTCTGTCACGGTCGAGGGAGCAGGCACTGACCACCTAGCAGCTAGGTGATTGCTTGTTTGATTGGCGAAACATCAATCGCTCTGGATTAGTGCCCCTTTAATGAGGTGGCCCAATCAGAAGTATTTACTAAATCGACAGTCAGTTAGCTTAGTTAAAACGTCAAGGTGATGGATGCATTAAACATTTACTAGCGTGGCGAAACCAGCCAGCACAGATATCACGTTAACGAAATATGTATCGACCCCCTGACAGCTGGATCATGGCGCTACTGAAACAGCTTTAGATTTACGGCGTTTCGTGAACTTTCCTTGCCTATAGAAAGACAGATGTTAGTTCCCCTGTCGTGTCAGTGTGATGGAATTACTCCACATGTCGCCATACCTCGCTCGGAACCCCAGTAATTCTTTCAGTCATCAATATACTATTAAACCGTTTGAGTAACGAATTTAAAAGTTGGAAATTCCGAGGAAATCGATAATGTTAATACGACAGATATATGTTGCCATGACAATATGAACTGATTATACAGTGGAATGCCATTTCTTGCATCACAGCTAGTGTTGAATATGTCCGCAACATACCATCGCGAATGCACGTGTGTTTCACTGAAGTGGTAAACGTGTGAGCCCTTCACCACTTATTTCCATTAAGCACTGATATACTGTAAAAGCGGCATTAAAAACTGAACTCACTCACTCACTCGAAATGTATAAAAAGTATTTTAAAGGATTTTAGTTATTAACAAATATTCGTCTGCCCGGCTGGCATTCCATGAAGTCGCAGGTTTGATCCCCGACCGCGTCAGGTCCCTGCCTGGCGCTCGGCATTAATGGGTACAACAAGGACTGGTCGGCTCGGAGTCAGTATAATGTGTCTGAGTGGGGTATTCATGCTTCACTGCGGCATGGTATCTCAGTGGGCTAGCACTATAAAACCAGCTTCAGTTTGGGCTAGTACAAGCAGCCGCACATACACATACACATACACGCGCATGCACGTCGTCATATGAGCGAAATATTCTCTAAGTACGACGTTAAACCCAATTTCACCTCACCTCACCTCCATGAATTTCAAAAGGGAACAGCACCGTACAGTTCAACTGATTTTTATTTTACATTAATCTGCCTCAGTCCCTGAATGATATAATTTTCCCTGACGCAGCAGATGTAGACTTTCCACAGTTTCCCATTGCACCGGTTCTACTTTTCATGTAAACATATCGTATACACTAAGGGCTTGTGAAATTCACATGTGTATGTTTGCTGCTAAATCGTGTTTGTACTTATTACTGATTTTCATTTCCTATTTTAAATTTTCGAGAAACGACGTCGTCTTCCAACAACAAATCAAGCGTATTATTTGGTGACAATGCATTGTGGGATCATTTGCAGCAATTTGTTTCAGTGTTCATATCACACCTACTCGCTGACTACGATTTCGCGTGTTGCTAGGTTACCAAGCAGAACCCCAAATCCCACCCAGCAGGGCCAGGCTATTGGCTCGTCAGTCCAGCCGGAACCAGAACTACAGGCAGTCTCTCCACACGCTCATCACCAACGTCAACTTTATGCTGCTCGCTGTATCCTATGGTAATGCTACATAGGGGCCCACCATAATCTATATTACGGTGGTAAATAGACGTTTATGTCTGTTGAGAAGGCCCCTGGCGTGTATAGGCGTTTTTTCAAACACTTATCCGTAAACAAGCCAGATATGACTCTTTCACAGACTAATCAAGGCATAAGGGCTTGTTCTGGGAGAGGTCTGCTGCAAGGGAGTCACTGTTGCATCAGGGATCTAATGGCTTCTCCGGTGTCATTGGCTGAGAGGAGCATGTGGCTTGAGGCGGTCCGTGGCTGTGCGGGGTGTGTGTCTGAGTGGGGAGTATGGCCGGGCGGATTCCGTGGCTGGGCGGGATCTATCTATGGCTAGGCGGAGTCTGTTGCTGGGCGGTGTCCTTGGCTGAGTGGGGTCTATGGCTAGGGCGAGATCTGCGGCTAAGGGCGGTCCCTGGCTGGGCGGGGTCTGTTGCTGGGCGGTGTCCTTGGCTGAGTGGGGTCTATGGCTAGGGCGAGATCTGCGGCTAAGGGCGGTCCCTGGCTGGGCGGGGTCTGTTGCTGGGCGGTGTCCTTGGCTGAGTGGGGTCTATGGCTAGGGCGAGGTCTGCGGCTAAGGGCGGTCCCTGGCTGGGCGGGGTCTGTTGCTGGGCGGTGTCCTTGGCTGAGTGGGGGTCTACTGGCTAGGGGCGAGATCTGCGGCTAAGGGCGGTCCCTGGCTGGGCGAGGTCTGTTGCTGGGCGGTGTCCTTGGCTGAGTGGGGTCTATGGCTAGGGCGAGGTCTGCGGCTAAGGGCGGTCCCTGGCTGGGGGGGGTCTGTTGCTGGGCGGTGTCCTTGGCTGAGTGGGGCTATGGCTAGGGCTAGGGCTAAGAGGTCCCTGGCTGGCTAAGGGCGGTCCCTGGCTGGGCGGGGTCTGTTGCTGGGCGGTGTCCTTGGCTGGAGTGGGTCTATGGCTAGGGGCAGGTCTGCGGCTAAGGGCGGTCCCTGGCTGGGCGAGGTCTGTTGCTGGGCGGTGTCCTTGGCTGAGTGGGGTCTATGGCTACGGCTAGGGCAGGTCCGCTGTCTGTCTGGCTGAGTGGGGCTAAGCTAAGGGCGGTCCCTGGCTGGGCGGGTCTGTTGCTGGGCGGTGTCCTTGGCTGAGTGGGGTCTACGGCTAGGGCGAGGTCTGCGGCTAAGGGCTGTCCCTGGCTGGGCGGGGTCTGTGACTGAGTGGAGTTTGTGGCTGGTTTGGGTCCGGATGCTGGGCTGGGGCCGGTACTGAGCGGGATTCTATGTCTGGGCGGTGTCCGTGAATGAGCGAGGTCTATGGTTTTGGGCGGGGTTTTGAAGATATGGTGGGGATATATGGTTGCGAATGTTTTAGTTCATCTTTCCTTCATATCTGTTAATAAATTGAGTTTTCCATCAAACATATATCGCCCAGTGTATATATATATAACCTGAACATTATTTCTCTGTAAATGAAGGCCCGTGTCAGTTCCCCCAAAGTGGTGTTGCTATCTCTGTGTTGCCGTTCCACTGTTCCTCCTGTACTGCCTGGCCTACCCAGCACTGTCTCGCACGTCTTCGTTGTTTTGCAGGCATTCTGACGGGTGCCTTCTACGCCATCTCCACCCTCCTGAACGGCATCATGCTCCATTACTTCCCGGTAGGCTTGTATTGCCAGAATTTCTCCTTCGCCCACCAACTCACTCATTCATTCACTCACCCTCTCACTAACATACTCACCCATACACTCACTCATGCACTTACTCACTCACTCACTTAGTGTGTCATGTTCGGGAACACATATTAACCCACATCTCCACTGTTATCCTGATGTTGTGAGACTACTAAAGATCTTTTTACGAACCTGGTGTCGAATTACTTTTGAATCATGTACTTGAATCAGTATCTTTTTCCCCATTAGCAGCACGGAGGTGCCCTCGCGTGACTCGTGTCCACGCCGAGGGACCAGTTATTGTCAAGTTTGGAATTATTGAAATATGATTTGATTAACTTTGTATCACAGATGAAGTATCAGCAGACTAATAGATTCTAATGAAATAATGGATGTATTGTCATGTATACTACTTTTGTAACCCAACGTTCGTTTTATTTAGTCATTAATGATTCATTCATTGAAGTATAAGAACAAATGAATATCTAAAGTTTGTACTAACGAAACACGACATTTTGGCAATTAATGCACGCACAGCGAGCCCCTCTTTCACAGCCCCACTTGCCCATAATCTCACTCACTCCCCATCCTCACTGACTTGATTGACCAGGTCATCGTATCTTAGTTGCGTGGAGCGATGTTCATGCTGTTGATCACTGGATTGTCTGGTCCAGAAGTGATTATTTACAGTCTGCCATCACGTGGCTGGAATATTGATGAGTGGGGCTTTAAACAACAAACAAACAAACAGAACTCCCTGCCCTCGCAGGTTGATGAGGGTGTAACGTCAGAACCCCAGTAGATAATGCTGTCCCTGTTTCCAGGGTGGGGATATAAGGTCAGACCCCCAGCCGATAATGCTCTCCCTGTTTCCAGGGTGAGGGTGTAACGTCAGACCACCAGTAGATAATGCTCTCCCTGTTCCCAGGGTGAGGGTGTAACGTCAGCCTCCCAGTAGATAATGCTGTCCCTGTTCCCAGGGTGAGGGTGTAACGTCAGACTCCCAGTAGATAATGCTCTCCCTGTTCCCAGGGTGAGGGTGTAACGTCAGACTCCCAGTAGATAATGCTGTCCCTGTTTCCAGGGTGAGAATGTAACGTCAGACCCCAGTAGATAATGCTGTCCCTGTTTCCAGTGTGAGGGTGTAACGTCAGACCCCCAGTAGATAATGCTGTCCCTGTTCCCAGGGTGAGGGTGTAACGTCAGCCCCCCAGTAGATAATGATGTCCCTGTTCCCAGGGTGAGGGTGTAACGTCAGACTCCCAGTAGATAATGCTGTCCCTATTCCCAGGGTGGGGGTGTAACGTCAACCCCCAGTAGATAATGTTGTCCCTGTTCCCAGGGTGAGGGTGTAACGTCAACCCCCAGTAGATAATGCTGTCCCTGTTCCCAGGGTGGGGGTATAACGTCAGACCCCCAGTAGATAATACTGTCCCTGTTCCCAGGGTGGGGGTGTAACGCCAGACTCCCAGTAGATAATGCTGTCCCTGTTTCCAGGGTGAGGGTGTAACGCCAGACCACTAGTAGATAATGCTGTCCCTGTTCCCAGGGTGAGGGTGTAACGTCAACCCCCAGTAGATAATCCTGTCCCTATTCCCAGGGTGAGGATGTAACGTCAGACTCCCAGTAGACAATGCTGTCCCTATTCCCAGGGTGAGGATGTAAGACTAGACTCCCAGTAGACAATGCTGTCCCTGTTCCCAGGGTGAGGATGTAACGTCAGACCCCCAGTAGACAATGCTGTCCCTATTCCCAGGGTGAGGATGTAACGCTAGACTCCCAGTAGACAATGCTGTCCCTATTCCCAGGGTGAGGGTGTAACGTCAACCCCCAGTAGACAATGCTGTCCCTGTTCCCAGGGTGGGGGTGTAACGTCAACCCCCAGTAGATAATGTTGTCCCTGTTCCCAGGGTGAGGATGTAACGTCAGACTCCCAGTAGACAATGCTGTCCGTGTTCCCAGGGTGAGGATGTAACGTCAGACCCCAAGTGCAGAATAATGCTGTGCCTGTTCCTAGGGTGAGGGTGTAACGTCAACCCCCAGTAGACAATGCTGTCCCTGTTCCCAGGGTGAGGGTGTAACGTCAACCCCCAGTAGACAATGCTGTCCCTGTTCCCAGGGTGAGGATGTAACGTCAACCCCCAGTAGACAATGCTGTCCCTGTTCCCAGGGTGAGGGTGTAACGTCAACCCCCAGTAGATAATCCTGTCCCTGTTCCCAGGGTGAGGGTGTAACGTCAATCCCCAGTAGATAACCCTGTCCCTGTTCCCAGGGTGAGGATGTAACGCCAGACCCCCAGTAGACAATGCTGTCCCTGTTCCCAGGGTGAGGGTGTAACGTCAACCCCCAGTAGATAATCCTGTCCCTGTTCCCAGGGTGAGGATGTAACGCCAGACTCCCAGTAGACAATGCTGTCCCTGTTCCCAGGGTGAAGATGTAACGTCAGACCATCAGTAGATAATGCTGTCCCTGTTCCCAGGGTGAGGGTATAACGTCAGACCACCAGTAGATAATGCTGTCCCTGTTCCCAGGGTGAGGATGTAACGTCAACCCCCAGTAGATAATCCTGTCCCTGTTCCCAGGGTGAGGGTATAACGCCAGACCACCAGTAGATAATGCTGTCCCTGTTCCCAGGGTGAGGATGTAACGTCAACCCCCAGTAGATAATCCTGTCCCTGTTCCCAGGGTGAGGGTATAACGCCAGACCACCAGTAGATAATGCTGTCCCTGTTCCCAGGGTGAGGGTGTAACGTCAGACCACCAGTAGATAATGCTGTCCCTGTTCCCAGGGTGGGGATGTAACGTCAACCCCCAGTAGATAATCCTGTCCCTGTTCAAAGGGTGAGGATGTAACGTCAACCCCCAGTAGATAATCCTGTCCCTGTTCCCAGGGTGAGGGTATAACGCCAGACCACCAGTAGATAATGCTGTCCCTGTTCCCAGGGTGAGGATGTAACGTCAGACCATCAGTAGATAATGCTGTCCCTGTTTCCAGGGTGAGGGTGTAACGTCAACCCCCAGTAGATAATGCTGTCCCTGTTTCCAGGGTGAGGTGTAACGTCAGACCATCAGTAGATAATGCTGTCCCTGTTTCCAGGGTGAGGGTGTAACGTCAACCCCCAGTAGATAATGCTGTCCCTGTTTCCAGGGTGAGAGTGTAACGTCAGACCATCAGTAGATGATGCTGTCCCTGTTTCCAGGGTGAGGGTGTAACGTCAACCCCCAGTAGATAATGCTGTCCCTGTTTCCAGGGTGAGGGTGTAACGTCAACCACCAGTAGATAATGCTGTCCCTATTCCCAGGGTGAGGGTATAACGTCAACCCCTAGTAGATAATGTTGTCCCTGTTCCCAGGGTGAGGGTGTAACGTCAACCCCGAGTAGACAATGCTGTCCCTGTTCCCAGGGTGAGGGTATAACGCCAGACCACCAGTAGATAATCCTGTCCCTGTTCCCAGAGTGAGGGTGTAACGTCAGACCACCAGTAGATAATGTTGTCCCTGTTCCCAGGGTGAGGGTATAACGCCAGACCACCAGTAGATAATCCTGTCCCTGTTCCCAGGGTGAGGGTGTAACGTCAGACCACCAGTAGATAATGCTGTCCCTGTTCCCAGGGTGAGGGTGTAACGTCAGACCACCAGTAGATAATCTGTCCCTGTTCCCAGGGTGAGGGGTGTAACGTCAGACCCCCAGTAGATAATGCTGTCCCTGTTCCCAGGGTGAGGGTGTAACGTCAACCCCCAGTAGATAATGCTGTCCCTGTTCCCAGGGTGAGGGTGTAACATCAGACCACCAGTAGATAATCCTGTCCCTGTTCCCAGGGTGAGGGTGTAACGCTAGACTCCCAGTAGATAATGCTGTCCCTGTTCCCAGGGTGAGGGTGTAACATCAGACCCCAAGTAGATAATGCTGTCCCTATTCCCAGGGTGAGGGTGTAACGTCAACCCCCAGTAGACAATGCTGTCCCTGTTCCCAGGGTGAGGGTATAACGCCAGACCACCAGTAGATAATCCTGTCCCTGTTCCCAGGGTGAGGGTGTAACGTCAGACCACCAGTAGATAATGTTGTCCCTGTTCCCAGGGTGAGGGTATAACGCCAGACCACCAGTAGATAATGCTGTCCCTGTTCCCAGGGTGAGGTGTAACATCAGACCCCCAGTAGATAATGCTGTCCCTATTCCCAGGGTGAGGGTGTAACGTCAACCCCAGTAGATAATAATACTGCTGTCCCTGTTCCCAGGGTGAGGTGTAACATCAGACCCCAAGTAGATAATGTTGTCCCTGTTCCCAGGGTGGGGGTGTAACGTCAACCCCCAGTAGATAATGTTGTCCCTGTTCCCAGGGTGAGGGTTTAACGTCAACCCCCAGTATATAACGCCAGCCTCCCAGTAGACAATGCTGTCCCTGTTTCCAGGGTGAGGGTGTAACGTCAACCCCCAGTAGAAAATGCTGTCCGTGTTCCCAGGGTGAGGGTGTAACGCTAGACTCCCAGTAGAAAATGCTGTCCCTGTTTCCAGGGTGAGGGTGTAACGACAGACCCCCAGTAGATAATGCTGTCCGTGTTCCCAGGGTGAGGGTGTAACGACAGACTCCCAGTAGATAATGCTGTCCCTGTTCCCAGGGTGAGGGGTGTAACGCTAGACTCCCAGTAGAAAATGCTGTCCTGTTTCCAGTGTGAGGGGTGTAACGACAGACCCCAGTAGATAATGCTGTCCGTGTTCCCAGGGTGAGGGTGTAACGACAGACTCCCAGTAGATAATGCTGTCCCTGTTCCCAGGGTGAGGGGTGTAACGCTAGACTCCCAGTAGAAAATGCTGTCCCTGTTTCCAGTGTGAGGGTGTAACGACAGACCCCCAGTAGATAATGCTGTCCGTGTTCCCAGGGTGAGGGTGTAACGACAGACTCCCAGTAGATAATGCTGTCCCTGTTCCCAGGGTGAGGGTGTAACGCTAGACTCCCAGTAGAAAATGCTGTCCCTGTTTCCAGTGTGAGGGTGTAACGACAGACCCCAGTAGATAATGCTGTCCGTGTTCCCAGGGTGAGGAGGGTGTAACGACAGACTCCCAGTAGGGAAATGCTGTCCCTGTTCCCAGGGTGAGGGTGTAACGCTAGACTCCCAGTAGAAAATGCTGTCCCTGTTTCCTGTGTGAGGGTGTAACGACAGACCCCCAGTAGATAATGCTGTCCGTGTTCCCAGGGTGAGGGTGTAACGACAGACTCCCAGTAGATAATGCTGTCCCTGTTCCCAGGGGAGGGTGTAACGCTAGACTCCCAGTAGAAAATGCTGTCCGTGTTTCCAGTGTGAGGGTGTAACGACAGACCCCCAGTAGATAATGCTGTCCGTGTTCCCAGGGTGAGGGTGTAACGCCAGACTCCCAGTCGATGATGATGTCCCTGTTCCCAGGGTGAGGGTGTAACGCCAGACTCCCAGTCGATGATGATGTCCCTGTTTCCAGTGTGAGGGTGCGACGCTAGACTCCCAGTCGATGATGATGTCCCTGTTCCCAGGGTGAGGGTGTAACGCTAGACTCCCAGTCGATGATGATGTCCCTGTTCCCAGGGTGAGGGTGTAACGCCAGACTCCCAGTAGATAATGCTGTCCCTGTTCCCAGGGTGAGGGTGTAACGCCAGACTCCCAGTCGATGATGATGTCCCTGTTCCCAGTGTGAGGGTGCGACGCTAGACTCCCAGTCGATGATGATGTCCCTGTTCCCAGGGTGAGGGTGTAACGACAGACTCCCAGTAGATAATGCTGTCCGTGTTCCCAGGGTGAGGGTGTAACGACAGACTCCCAGTAGATAATGCTGTCCCTGTTCCCAGGGTGAGGGTGTAACGCTAGACTCCCAGTAGAAAATGCTGTCCCTGTTTCCAGTGTGAGGGTGTAACGACAGACCCCCAGTAGATAATGCTGTCCGTGTTCCCAGGGTGAGGGTGTAACGACAGACTCCCAGTAGGAAATGCTGTCCCTGTTCCCAGGGTGAGGGTGTAACGCTAGACTCCCAGTAGAAAATGCTGTCCCTGTTTCCAGTGTGAGGGTGTAACGACAGACCCCCAGTAGATAATGCTGTCCGTGTTCCCAGGGTGAGGGTGTAACGACAGACTCCCAGTAGATAATGCTGTCCCTGTTCCCAGGGTGAGGGTGTAACGCTAGACTCCCAGTAGAAAATGCTGTCCGTGTTTCCAGTGTGAGGGTGTAACGACAGACCCCAGTAGATAATGCTGTCCGTGTTCCCAGGGTGAGGGTGTAACGCCAGACTCCCAGTCGATGATGATGTCCCTGTTCCCAGGGTGAGGGTGTAACGCCAGACTCCCAGTCGATGATGATGTCCCTGTTTCCAGTGTGAGGGTGCGACGCTAGACTCCCAGTCGATGATGATGTCCCTGTTCCCAGGGTGAGGGTGTAACGCTAGACTCCCAGTCGATGATGATGTCCCTGTTCCCAGGGTGGGGTGTAACGCCAGACTCCCAGTAGATAATGCTGTCCCTGTTCCCAGGGTGAGGGTGTAACGCCAGACTCCCAGTCGATGATGATGTCCCTGTTCCCAGTGTGAGGGTGCAACGCTAGACTCCCAGTCGATGATGATGTCCCTGTTCCCAGTGTGAGGGTGTATCGCTAGACTCCCAGTCGATGATGATGTCCCTGTTCCCAGGGTGAGGGTGTAACGCTAGACTCCCAGTCGATGATGATGTCCCTGTTCCCAGGGTGAGGGTGTAACGCCAGACTCCCAGTCGATGATGATGTCCCTGTTCCCAGGGTGAGGGTGCAACGCTAGACTCCCAGTAGATAATGATGTCCCTATTCCCAGGGTGGGGGTGTAACGCCAGACTCCCAGTAGATAATGATGTCCCTGTTCCCAGGGTGAGGATGTAACGTCAGACCACCAGTAGATAATGATGTCCCTATTCCCAGGGTGAGGGTGTAACGCCAGACTCCCAGTAGATAATGCTGTCCCTGTTTTCAGTGTGAGGGTGTAACGTCAGACCACCAGTAGATAATGATGTCCCTGTTCCCAGGGTGAGGGTGTAACGCCAGACTCCCAGTAGATAATGATGTCCCTATTCCCAGGGTGAGGGTGTAACGCCAGACTCCCAGTAGATAATGCTGTCCCTGTTTTCAGGGTGAGGATGTAACGTCAGACCACCAGTAGATAATGCTGTCCCTGTTCCCAGGGTGAGGATGTAACGTCAACCCCCAGTAGATAATGATGTCCGTGTTCCCAGGGTGAGGGTGTAACGTCAGACCACCAGTAGATAATGCTGTCCCTGTTTCCAGTGTGAGGGTGTAACGTCAGACCCCCAGTAGATAATGATGTCCCTGTTTTCAGGGTGAGGATGTAACGTCAACCCCCAGTAGATAATGATGTCCGTGTTCCCAGGGTGAGGGTGTAACGTCAGACCACCAGTAGATAATGCTGTCCCTGTTTCCAGTGTGAGGGTGTAACGTCAGACCCCCAGTAGATAATGCTGTCCGTGTTCCCAGGGTGAGGGTGTAACGTCAGACCATCAGTAGATAATGCTGTCCCTGTTCCCAGGGTGAGGAAGAAAACACAGGGCGCATTGGTCTCACGATCGTCCTGGCTGGTATAGCAGGAGCCATCATGGCGGGGCTGTGGCTGGACAAGACGAAGGCGTTCAAGTACGTAGCGACTCTCCATCATGACCCAAATGTCTGTGGCAAGTATGATACGGATAGAAATGACGTCTTTTCTACAATATTCCGAGATGTCTTCGTTGTGTAAAATTACACAAAGAGCTTTAGCACGCTTCCCTTGCGCCATACAGTGCAGGCTTTTGCGCCGCTGTTTGCTGTGCAGAGTTGCGTCCCTTGGGGACGTCATAACGTAGGTTCGAATCATGGTCAGAATGGATTGTTTTGCCCAAGTGATAAACGTATGAAATTTGTACAGTTGGTGTTTCCCTGTCTCGTGAAACTGACACGCCGTATTATAGACATCATTAAGACCAACTCGTCGTTAAAACCAACTCGAATACTTTCGCTAAGGGGACATTCAGGATTCTATTTTGAGGGTATTTGTAGGCGGGATTGTATTTGGTATTAAGATAGTTTTATATATTTATTTTTCAGTATTGTAACTTCAAATCTGTTTAAATTGTTTTTCATACCTAGGAACGCATTCTGTAAGTTTTCGTATGCCTTTTTGTGCTTTTGGGAATTATATATGTTTTTCTCAGATTTGTGTTAAGTAGTATTTGGGATTCATTCAGGGTATACTTATCTGTATGACATGGACATGATATGTTATATCCCCGTTCTGTAGGTGGACGTCGGTGGGGATCTATGCTCTGTCGCTGGTGGGAATGGTAGCGTTCGCTGCCATCATCGAATGCGACCTCAACCGTATCTGGATAATCTACCTCGTCGCCGGATTTCTTGGGTATATAAATCTCTGTCACTTCCAATCTCCATGCTTCAGTTTGGCATCACCTCCTGGAGATCTTATTACATTTGGTCTTCAGCAGCCCATGTTTGTCGTAAGAGGCGACTAAGGGGATCGGGTGGTCAGGCTCGCTGACACTGTGGATACATGTCATCGTATCATAAATGCTTAGATCGATGTTCGTGAGGTCAGTAACCAGATTGTTTGGTTTTGATCGCCGATGTATTGGATATGTGTTTTCCTGAATGATATTTTATCTCAGAAATAATATGAAATAATTTATATCCAGAAAGTAAGAAAATTGAAAATGGAGGTGCGAATAATGTTTAACTTCCGCCTAAAGATGACGCTATTAAGACTTGCCAACCTGGGTCCCGTTCCTCAAAGCGATCGTAACGCTACGACTGTCGTAAGTCTATGGGAGTTACGATCATTCTGTAGTATCTGAACACTTTCTGTATTCATTCTGTAGTATCTGAACACAGACTATGACCTAATCTGTTATAAAACCATCCCTTCAGTTTATTGCTTCTAAAACATCAAAACACAAAACGAATTTGTTTGTGTAGACGAGTATGGGGAGTAACACTCATGACCCGGATTTTCCGTTACACAACGAACTTGACTTACTCGGCCTGTAACTTGATGTGAACAGCTTCATGTGAAATAACATAAAGATAGTCACCTGTTACATCCCATGGGCTTTGAGCCATTAATCAGTGAGCCTATCTGTGTCAGACCTGCCAACTGCCACTGATTCTGTCAAATAAACTCGAGGGGATACTGAGTTAGTTATATGGATGAGTGTTCTCGGTGACTTGGTTAATAATGCGACACCGTGGATCGTTGCTGGTAATATTAGTCACTCGATTGTCTAGTCCGAACTCGATTACTTACTGGCCTTATCATCGTGGAAGCTTGACTACTGTCGAGTGCGGCGTTATAAGTATGCACACACGCGCAGGTACACGTACACGCACACACAAACACAAATTCTGTCTAGTGTATACATACCATACGTTCAATCTTTTCTGAAAATGTCCTTTATCCTATCTATACATATCCCGCATCCAGTCCCATGTACACATGTCCAACATTCAGTGCTATGTATACTACTCACACTTTGCTAAGGATCACAAAAATTCACTTTAATTAAACGTAGATTTATATTTTGAAATTTATCCATTTATAACTGGATAAATAATGATATGGTAACCCCTCTTTAGGCAAACACTCACCTTAATCTATCCTTATGCACTTGATACATGAGTAACTATCAAAATGGTTTTCATGGCACCAATCAACCATTTTGCATATCATTGACATGTACACAACACCTGTCAATAGCAGGTATAGGATCCACAAGATGAAATGACATACTGAAACCTAGGATCTAACTTATATAAGTTCTACATTCAGATGTATACATCTCCTACTGGTATTTCAGTGCATATGTGTCCCCAATGAAGTCCAGATAACGCATATCCTACAGTTTGTGGACGTGAATTTGCTCTCTCATGCGTATTCTCGTCGTATATTTTAGAGTCGTTCAGTCATGTTCAAGATTTAACTGAATCTGCTCGTTTCCTCGATTTAACCTTGTTTCTGCATGTCTCAGGTTCTTTATGACTGGCTACCTGCCCGTGGGGTACGAGTTTGCTGCCGAGATCACGTACCCCGAGTCTGAGGCTACATCGTCCGGCATTTTAACAGGTTCAGCAATGGTAAGTGGTTGTGTGATTGTCTCCGGTCTTCACGACTGATCAGATATCAATGACTAATTTTCATCGATTATCGGATAAATCTTCATCATTTACAGCACAATCTCCGGCTGTTACCGCATAATCTCTATCAACTACCGCACATTTTCCGTCAGTTACCGCACAAACAATATCAGCTACAGCACAATTTCCGTCAGTTACCGCACAATCTACATCAGCTACCGCACAATCTCTATCAGCTACCGCACAATTTCCGTCAGTTACCGCACAGACAATATCAGCTACCGCACAATTTCCGTCAGTTACCGCACAATCTACATCAGCTATAACGCACAACTACATGTATGTCAGTTACTGAAAATTCTCCATCATTTACAGCAAAATGCACCTCAGTTACCGCACAATCTCCGTCACTTAGCGCAAAATCGCGGTCAATTACCGCATAAGCTCCTCAAATACCGCACAGTCCCCTATTCTTCTTACACTGTAAAGTATGCACATGCCACGGCACAATGCCAGTCGATTACCGCACAATCGTCCCCAGCTACCGCAGTTGTCAGACAGTCGCCATCAGATACCACACAATCCCCTCAGGTGCCATTTTACAATATCATTCTGCAAAACAAAAATTCCTAGCTACCCGACAAAGTCCACTAGTAACCAAACAATTTCAATTTTGTCATGCTAGGTAAAACCGTTCCAGATATATAGTTCTTCAAACTAACAGGGGTCATATGTTGGAGACGTATACTAACAGCTAGTCTCAGAAATGAACATATTTTACATAAAATAATATTTTTCAAATTAAAATAAAATATAATAAAAAGGAGCCCAGAGACGTTTTTCATTTCCTGAAACTGCGGTAATCTAGACTTGCCACACATTCTAGACTTGCATGGGCTACATGGGGTATATTTGTTTCAGGGTCTATATGACAGACTACTTGGTGACGCTGCTTTCAAAAATATTTCCGCGGCATTTCTGCCCAAAGCCACAGTGCTCAACATCTCAATCACGGCCAAACTACTGCTGGAAGTCTCAATGAACGGTTGAGCACACAGCAACTGTTGGCGCCTCACAATACATGGCCTCCAGAGAACCTTGTGTTCACAGATTAGTTTTATAAAATATTTATACATAAAAACACTGGTGTTAATTAGAAGGATATTGAAATATTTTCCAATTTTCCAGTTTTGTGGAATGATGCTGACACTGGGTATGAGAGCTGTGAGCTGTCATGAACCGCGTCAGCATTCTTGCAGAACCGCGCTCGGTCGCATCCTTGCAGCAAACATCACACTGTGCTCGGTCGTCTTTGTCGGCGTCATCCTAACAGGTATGTTAACACCTACAACATCACACTGTGCTCGGTCGTCTTTGTTGGCGTCATCCTAACAGGTATGTTAACACCTTCAACATCACACTGTGCTCGGTCGTCTTTGTTGGCGTCATCCTAACAGGTATGTTAACACCTTCAACATCACACTGTGCTCGGTCGTCTTTGTTGGCGTCATCCTAACAGGTATGTTAACACCTTCAACATCACACTGTGCTCGGTCGTCTTTGTTGGCGTCATCCTAACAGGTATGTTAACACCTTCAACATCACACTGTGCTCGGTCGTCTTTGTTGGCGTCATCCTAACAGGTATGTTAACACCTTCAACATCACACTGTGCTCGGTCGTCTTTGTTGGCGTCATCCTAACGTCATCATCCTAACAGGTATGTTAACACCTTCAACATCACACTGTGCTCGGTCGTGCTCTTTGTTGGCGTCATCCTAACAGGTATGTTATCACCTGGCGCCATCCAAACCTACAACATCACACTGTGCTCGGTCGTCTTTGTCGGCGTCATCCTAACAGGTATGTTAACACCTACAACATCACACTGTGCTCGGTCGCCTCTTTGTCGGCGCCATCCTAACAGGTATGTTAACACCTTCAACATCACACTGTGCTGTCGGTCGTCTTTGTTGGCGTCATCCTAACAGGTATGTTAACACCTTCAACATCACACTGTGCTCGGTCGCCTTTGTCGGGCGCCATCCTAACAGGTATGTTAACACCTACAACATCACACTGTGCTCGGGTCGCCTTTGTCGGCGCCATCCTAACAGGTATGTTAACACCTTCAACATCACACTGTGCCATCCTCGGTCGCGTCTTTGTAACAGGTATGTTAACATCAACTCACACTGTGCAGGTACAGGTATTAACACCTTCAACATCACACTGTGCTCTTTGTCGGGTCATCTTTGTGCCATCCTAACAGGTATGTTAACGTCTTTGTCGTCTTTGTTGGCGTCATCCTAACAGGTATGTTAACATCTACAACATCACACAGGTACAGGTATGTTAACACCTTCAACATACACACCTGTCGGTCGTCTCAAGGTCATCCTAACAGGTATGTTAACACCTACAACATCACGTCATCCTAACAGGTATGTTAACACCTTACAACACACTCGGTCGATTAGGTCTTTGTCGGCGCCATCTAACAGGTATGTTAACACCTACAACATCACACTGTGCTCGGTCGTCTTTTGGGCGCCATCCTAACAGGTATGTTAACACCTTCAACATCACACGTCATCCTGTCGGGCCATCCTAACATGTTAACACCTACAACATCACACTGTGCTCGGTCGTCTCTTTGTCGGCGTCATCCTAACAGGTATGTTAACACCTTCAACATCACACTGTGCTCGCGATTAGTCTTTGTTGGCGTCATCCTAACAGGTATGTTAACACCTTCAACATCACACTGTGCTCGGGTCGTCTTTGTCGGTCGTCATCCTAACAGGTATGTTAACACCTTCAACATCACACTGTGCTCGGTCAGTCTTTGTTGGCGCATCATCCTAACAGGTATGTTAACACCTACAACATCACACTGTGCTCGGTCTTTGTCGGGCGTCATCCTAACAGGTATGTTAACACCTACAACATCACACTGTGCTCGGTCTTTCGTCTTTGTTCGCCATCCTAACTGGTATGTTAACATCCTTACAACATCACACTGTGCTCGGTCGTCTTTGTCGGCGCCATCCTAACAGGTATGTTAACACCTTCAACATCACACTGTGCTCGGTCGTCTTTGTTGGCGCCATCCTAACAGGTATGTTAACACCTTCAACATCATCACTGTGCTTTTCGGTCAACATCTTTGTTAACGTCATCTAACAGGTATGTTAACACCTACAACATCACACACTGTGCTCGGTCGTCTTTGTCGGCGCGTCATCCTAACAGGTATGTTAACACCTACAACAACATCACACTGTGCTCGGTCGTCAACATTTCTTTGTTGGCGTCATCCTAACAGGTATGTTAACACCTTCAACATCACACTGTGCTCGGTCGTCTTTGTCGGGCGTCATCCTAACAGGTATGTTAACACCTTCAACATCACACTGTGCTCGGTCGCCGTCTTTGTCGGCGTCATCCTAACAGGTATGTTAACACCTACAACATCACACTGTGCTCGGTCGTCTTTGTTGGCGCGTCATCCTAACAGGTATGTTAACACCTACAACATCACACTGTGCTCGGTCGTCTTTGTCGGCATCATCCTAACAGGTATGTTAACACCTTCAACATCACACTGTGCTCGGGTCGTCTTTGTCGGGCGTCATCCTAACAGGTATGTTAACACCTACAACATCACACTGTGCTCGGTCGCTCTTTGTCCTAACAGGCGTCATCCTAACAGGTATGTTAACACCTTCAACATCACACTGTGCTCGGTCGTCTTTTGTCGGGCGTCATCCTAACAGGTATGTTAACACCTTCAACATCACACTGTGCTCGGTCGGTCTTTGTCATCCTAACAGGTATGTTAACACCTTCAACATCACACTGTGCCGGTCGTCTTTTGTTGGCGTCATCATCCTAACAGGTATGTTAACACCTTCAACATCACACTGTGCTTTCGATTCGCCTTCGGCGTCATCCTAACAGGTATGTTAACACCTACAACATCACACTGTGCTCGGTCGCCTTTGTCGGCGCGTCATCCTAACAGGTATGGTATGTCATCCTAAGGTATGTTAACACCTTCAACATCACACTGTGTAACCGATTCGTCTTTGTCGGCCATCCTAACAGGTATGTTAACACCTTCAACATCACACTGTAACCGGTCGTCTTTGTGGCGTCATCCTAACAGGTATGTTAACACCTACAACATCACACTGTGCTCGGTCGTCTTTGTTGGCGTCATCCTAACAGGTATGTTAACACCCTACAACATCACACTGTCGGCGCCATCCTAACAGGTATGTTAACACCTACAACATCACACTGTCGGTCTTTGTCGGCGTCATCCTAACAGGTATGTTAACAGGTATGTTAACACCTACAACTTCAACATCACACTGTGCTCGGGTCGCCTTTGTCGGCATCATCCTAACAGGTATGTTAACACCTACAACATCACTGTCCTAACAGGTATGTTAACACCTTTACAACATCACATCTGTGCTCGGTCATCGGCGCCATCCTAACAGGTATGTTAACACCTACAACATCACACTGTGCTCGGTCGTCTTTGTCGGGCGCCATCCTAACAGGTATGTTAACACTTCTACAACACCTTCAACATCACACTGTGCTCGGTCGTCTTTGTCGGCGTCATCCTAACGGGTATGTTAACACCTACAACATCACACTGTGCTCGGTCGTCTTTGTCGGCGTCATCCTAACAGGTATGTTAACACCTTCAACATCACACTGTGCTCGGTCGTCTTTGTCGGCGTCATCCTAACAGGTATGTTAACACCTTCAACATCACACTGTGCTCGGTCGTCTTTGTTGGCGTCATCCTAACAGGTATGTTAACACCTACAACATCACACTGTGCTCGGTCGTCTTTGTCGGCGTCATCCTAACGGGTATGTTAACACCTTCAACATCACACTGTGCTCGGTCGTCTTTGTCGGCGTCATCCTAACGGGTATGTTAACACCTTCAACATCACACTGTGCTCGGTCGTCTTTGTCGGCGTCATCCTAACGGGTATGTTAACACCTACAACATCACACTGTGGTCGGTCGTCTTTGTCGGCGTCATCCTAACAGGTACGTTAACACCTACAACATCACACTGTGCTCGGTCGTCTTTGTTGGCGTCATCCTAACAGGTATGTTAACACCTACAACATCACACTGTGCTCGGTCGTCTTTGTCGGCGTCATCCTAACAGGTACGTTAACACCTACAACATCACACTGTGCTCGGTCGTCTTTGTTGGCGTCATCCTAACAGGTATGTTAACACCTACAACATCACACTGTGCTCGGTCGTCATTCTTGTGATCGTTTTACTTTAATGCAACATGCCGGAGTGTTTTATCAAATTTACCTTTTCTATATATCGATCTTTTTAAGCCTACAGTAGATATTGCGACTCCCTAATAATGACGTTAAACCATATAGTTCCATATTATTCTTGTTAAACGTCACGGCTCCCCTATCCTATCAGGTAATGAAATAATACATATTGATTTACTCCGCATGACAAATTTTCCAGCTGTTCACAGCAAATCTTATTGGAGACTTGAAGCAATATTTGTTTAGAGAATGGGCGTCCATTCGATGTGCGAAGCTTATTACAGGTAGTTCCTACTATTCCACTTTTCCGCAGGTTTAGTGGATTGTGATACTAAGTTTACGAAAATGGTTTACCGTAATGAGAGTGCTAGCAGGCATATAACAGCGCAAAGCGAACATACAGTAAAGTTTGTCTCGTGAATTCATAGTGTTCCAATTCTACATTATCTTCATTTTTCTATATCCAGCGATTGTTCGACCAGACTATCGGCGTCAGGCAGCCGAGACGCAGGTGAGTCAAGTCAAGTATTTTTTGTTCCGTATGTAGGCCACAGGCCCATATACAACATACATACATTTGTTTACAAATATAGATACACTTTAAAGGGCATACATATCAATAATACACGTGTTATTTGTTCAAACAGATTTCTTGTCAGTATAAATATAATATTTAATATAAACATATATACACACTTTTATAAACATTTAAAATGGAAAAATGTGTGGTTTAAAGAAAATTTATTGGAGTTTGATTGCTCTGATGTTATAAGCATGTAAGATATATTTACATAAATTTCTTAAAAGTGTTTCATTATTTGTTGATAACAGGGACTTAAATTTATAGTAGTTTGGTTGTTTCTGATATGCATATGGCAAGTATTTTAATCTAAGGGAGTTATATTCAGTACATATAAAAATAAAATGATACTCATTAATGCATTCATTGTATTTGACCATTGCATTATTGTTGCTGTCATTGTAATCATCACTATCATAATTATTACGTAATAAATACATTAATGTTACCCATGCCATATTGTTATAGATTAAAACATGTACAGAAATACCGAGGTCAGCTTAGTCATACTTGTGAATATTTAATAATAATATTGTGTACATATATTTTGGTAAATGAGAAGATAACGTAAGAATAATTCAGTAATAATTGTTCCTATCGCAGGTTTTGGAGAAGATAAACCATCTTGAATTAACGATAGCACCGCCAGATAAGAGCACAGGGGAGACAACTCTACCTGGCCTAGCAGAGCCTGACTCTGATGGACAGTTAAAGCAGCCTCTGACCCAGTGACCAGCAGAGCTCTGTTGACATGGCCGTGCTTGTATCCAGGAGGGAATCGGCATCCCACAGCTCAGGAAATACACACGAAGTACAGTGTCGCGGTGGGAATAGGAATGGACTTAAAACCAGCTTTTACCTTCACAGGTATGAACGGATGTTCCGTCTCCTTGGAGACGGTGAGGAAGTCACGTGATCTGATCGACATGAAAGTGGTACTATTGTAATTGTTTTCCATAATTGTGTTTCTAGAGATATAATCGGGATGCCGCCACGAACGCTCGTACTCGGATGGTTATGGAAAACGTCATGGTTGTTTATAACGTGTGATAATGAATGGAAAACATCTGGCCCATCCATCTACACACCTGACGACAGGCCGGGTTTGATTACCTACATGAGTTAAATGTGTGAAGCCTGTGTTGAGATATTGCTCAAACATTACTAAAAGCGGCGTAAAATCATAACCCCTTGTACTCGCAGATTCCCGCAGAGGCACGTACACACAAACTCACAGTGAGATTGAGAAATATTTCAGTGTGCAGAAGACTGAATGCCTTTATAAAATCAGCAGGACTTTTTAAATCTGCATTTATTATACAAAACTGCGTGCTTTTTATAAAAAAGAGTCTTAACTAAATTGTGCAAATTCGTTTACGACTGGTACGGTCAGTTCATTGTTGTCCTTTCCGAAAGACCAAAATAAGCAAGATGAGATATATTCTATTGCTGAGTCCATATTTCCAACACATGGACAATTCTCTACTTGGACGGTACAATTCCCCAATCAGAATAGGACATTTCCAAACACCCCTTCTTGTATCAATTCATACCAATGATTTGGATATCTCTTTCTTTGGGGGTATTTTTAAAGAAATTGGTATCTGAAACCTCTGACTTGACTGCGATTTGTCTCGTTGACAGTCGTTGTGACCATGTATATGGGATATAACTAGGGCGTGTGACGTTGACAGTCGTTGTGACCATGTATATGGGATATAACTAGGGCGTGTGACGTTGACAGTCGTTGTGACCATGTATACGGGATATCACTAGGGTGTGTGACGTTGACAGTCGTTGTGACCATGTATATGGGATATAACTAGGGTGTGTGACGTTGACAGTCGTTGTAACCATGTATATGGGATATAACTAGGGCGTGTGACGTTGACAGTCGTTGTGACCATGTATATGGGATATAACTAGGGCGTGTGACGTTGACAGTCGTTGTGACCATGTATATGGGATATAACTCGGGCTTGTGACGTTGACAGTCGTTGTGACCATGTATACGGGATATCACTAGGGCTTGTGACGTTGACAGTCGTTGTGACCATGTATACGGGATATCACTAGGGTGTGTGACGTTGACAGTCGTTGTAACCATGTATACGGGATATCACTAGGGTTTGTGACGTTGACAGTCGTTGTGACCATGTTTTCTTGCTGATTTTTTAAATACGGGATAATCATTAGGTTGACACCGTGACGTTGACATTTGCTTGTCGACAGAAAAAACACACTCGTATATGGGATATAACTAGGGTGTGTGACGTTGACAGTCGTTGTAACCATGTATATGGGATATAACTAGTGGACGTTGACAGTCGTTGTGACGTTGACAGTCGTTGTGACCATGTATACGGGATATCACTAGGGTGTGTGACGTTGACAGTCGTTGTGACCATGTATACGGGATATCATTAGGATTATTTTCCCACTATGTGTGACGTTGACAGTCGTTGTAACCATGTATATGGGATATAACTAGGGTGTGTGACGTTGACAGTCGTTGTAACCATGTATATGGGATATAACTAGGGCTTGTGACGTTGACAGTCGTTGTGACCATGTATACGGGATATCACTAGGGTGTGTGACGTTGACAGTCGTTGTAACCATGTATACGGGATATCACTAGGGTTTGTGACGTTGACAGTCGTTGTGACCATGTATACGGGATATAACTAGGGCTTGTGACGTTGACAGTCGTTGTGACCATGTATATGGGATATAACTCGGGCTTGTGACGTTGACAGTCGTTGTGACCATGTATACGGGATATCACTAGGGTGTGTGACGTTGACAGTCGTTGTAACCATGTATATGGGATATCACTAGGGTTATCACTTAGGGTGTGACGTTGACAGTCGTTGTGACCATGTATACGACGTTGGATATCACTAGGGTGTGTGACGTTGACAGTCGTTGTAACCATGTATACGGGATATCACTAGGGCGTGTGACGTTGACAGTCGTTGTGACCATGTATACGGGATATCACTCGGGCTTGTGACGTTGACAGTCGTTGTGACCATGTATACGGGATATCACTAGGGTGTGTGACGTTGACAGTCGTTGTGACCATGTATACGGGATATCACTAGGGTGTGTGACGTTGACAGTCGTTGTGACCATGTATATGGGATATAACTAGGGCGTGTGACGTTGACAGTCGTTGTGACCATGTATACGGGATATAACTCAGGGCTGTGTGACGTTGACAGTCGTTGTGACCATGTATACGGGATATCACTAGGGTGTGTGACGTTGACAGTCGTTGTGACCATGTATACGGGATATCACTAGGGTGTGTGACGTTGACAGTCGTTGTGACCATGTATACGGGATATCACTAGGGTGTGTGACGTTGACAGTCGTTGTGACCATGTATATCGGATATCACTAGGGTGTGTGACGTTGACAGTCGTTGTGACCATGTACACGGGATATAACTAGGGTGTGTGACGTTGACAGTCGTTGTGACCACGTATACGGGATACCACTAGGGTGTGTGACGTTGACAGTCGTTGTGACCATGTATACGGGATATCACTAGTGCGTGTGACGTTGACAGTCGTTGTGACCATGTACACGGGATATCACTAGGGTGTGTGACGTTGACAGTCGTTGTGACCATGTATACGGGATATCACTAGGGCGTGTGACGTTGACAGTCGTTGTGACCATGTACACGGGATATCACTAGGGCGTGTGACGTTGACAGTCGTTGTAACCATGTATACGGGATATCACTAGGGCGTGTGACGTTGACAGTCGTTGTGACCATGTATACGGGATATCACTAGGGTGTGTGACGTTGACAGTCGTTGTGACCATGTACGCGGGATGTATGTTGGAAATAAGAGTAATCTATTCAGAACTTTTGCTTGTTGTGAATGTGCTGTACAAGAGCCCATGTTTCTATGTGTACAAATGAATGAGTTGACACAACAATACCACACTGACAGTATTCATTACAAGTTATAAACAATCAAGTTTTCGATCTACCCACCAACTGGATGGCAACCACAAAGAAGTGAACCGGAGTTTAACCGTTAAATATACAGACTATCTGTAAAAGATAAGTAATAAGATGAATAACACACAGTGGTAGAGATTGATGATGCAAGAGATTTCAGCGAAGGTGTCGATATTAGGGACTAAACACTGAATCGTCATAAATATTGTAATTTACTTTCAAGAATCTTTTCAGCATTTGCAACAAAGGGCTGACTTTGTTGCAATGCTTTGTTTTATTTGTTTTGTTTTGGGTTTTGTTTTTATGTTTGGACTGTTTGTTTATTTTTACTTAACCCCACATTTAGCAGTATACGAGCTGTATCCCACTCTTGAGTCTTGACCAGATGACCGACATCATGAGTATGGATCTACACAGCTGCGATACGATGAATAAACCAAATCACCTGACCACCCGATCTCACCAGACGCCTCTTACAAGACTGTTGCTGAACACCAAGTTTGACCTATATGTAATATTTACTAAGACTAGTGAAGTCAATCGTTTAAGTCAAACCAAGTATGTATGGGCTATTTGATACGATTCAATGATGTCACATGTCATTTATGTAAGTGGAGAAGTGTACATGAGATTATTTAGCTCAACATACCTTCATTTCTGTTCGTTTCGGCGCTGGAGGTAATGCGAGTCAAACAGACTTCCTTGAGCTGAAATAGGGCAGACATGTCCGGTACGAATGAATACAAGGCAAAAAAATTGCATTGAAAATTGCGCAGTTACACGTTTGAGAATATACCTCGTGGTTAACAAAGGGTAAAGCTGTCGTGAATTAAAAGGCTGTTGATAAACTCGGTAGTATTTTGTCATAGTATATATAAGACACGTGATACATGTTATAGAAACCTGTGTTCACTGCATAATAAGTTGCGTAATAGGTAGGACTTACAATACGTCGACTACAGGAGCAACCAGTCCCAACCATCCAACGAACAAGACTCAACTGGGCGCAAAATAGTAGCGAAAACAGACACGCACGCACGCACGCACGCACATGTAAACAATCACACACGCGTCGACTACAGGAGCAACCAGTCCCAACCATTCAACGAACAAGACTCAACTGGGCGCAAAATAGCAGCGAACACGCATGGGCACGCACGCACGCACCCACACACAGCACCACCAATACTTTCTATAAATACTCATTGTTTCACTCACATGACTGATTACACCTGTTGTTGAGGTTTGTTTTACTGTGTTGTTTAATTGGTCATATTTGTTTGTTGTTTAACGCCGCACTCAGCAATATTCCAGCTATCTGTAAATGGTCGAGTCGGAACCAGTGAGTGACGGCGTGGACACCTATCTACGCAAATTATCAGCAAGGATACCATGACATGCATTACTCGAGTCATCGAATCTGACCACCCGATCCTGTTAGTCTTACGAGATTCATGGTGAGCTGAAGGTCGGTTCTAACTGAGATTCTGACGTTGTTCCACAAATGACGAATCAGAAGATGGTCAAGATCAGGTTATTAAGGCCACCTCCACATATAATGCTTCTCTTTCGTAGCTTATGGTGTTCATGTTTGTTGTTTAACGCCGCACTCAGCAATATTCCAGCTATATGGCGGCGGTCTGTAAATAATCGAATCTGGTCCAGACAATCCAGTGATCAACATCATGAGCATCAATCTACGCAATTGGGATACAATGACATTTGTCAACGAAGTCAGCGAGCTTGATCACCCTCTCCCGTTAGTCGCCTCTTACAACAAGCATGTGCTGCTGAAAACCAATTCTAACCCGGATTTTCACTTGTATCTTAGCTTATGGGTTTGATTAATGATAAGACTATTTGGTGTTATTTTCTGTGAAATATTACATAGGCATTGGAGTCCCGGTTTAAATAAAAAGGCGGTGTCCGTTCTTGTGCCTGTTCCGTGTTCCATGTATGAACATAGCCGTTGTATGTTACCCAAGCTCCCTGCTCATGATAGATCACTTCTCTGCCTCTCTTTGCTGTTTAAACGATTCATCACATTTCACGATTGGACAGTTGGTTGTCAATTAGTCACGCCCGAATTACCTTGAACCCACATTACACTGATTGTACACATGGAATTAACGGAACGATCATTTACTTTGACACTCGTACGAATGATTTCATATTTTGGGTGAAAAGCGATGGGAAATATATCAAAATACATCAAGTAAAGCGAATCTAATAAATATATTCAAATATTTATATAATCCTTAAAAGGCTCCGCAAAATATTTGAATATTGTTGTGTTACAGTATTTCCCCAAACGATGTTCAAGTAAGGTAATTAGAAAAACCTGATGGGGAAACTCAAAAACCATATATAGAGAAGTGATAAAACAAGTCAATTA